ATAAGCAGCGGCGATGGCAGGGACAGCCTGTCCAGCGTCACCCTGCGCGCACACGTGGATCGTGAGCAAGAGGCCAAATGTTTTGTCATGCGGAACGAGGACAGCCTTGGTCTCATTGGCAGCACCCCAGAGGTGTGCCAGCACCTCCCTCTCATGGCACACCTGGCGCCTCCTCCTGCAAACTCCTGCAAAAGGCCCCAACACCTCCAGCATCCCCACAGACCGTCATGACAAAAGCTACAGGTATTGCTGAACCATCCTTGGCAGCCACACAGGGCCATGGCACACAGCCCTGGGACATTGGTGCTCATGGCACTGCAGCCCGTGGTCCGTGCTAGCCATGGGCCCACCTGGTGCCAGGGTGCCACCGTGAGACAAGGAAATGGATATTTTTGTAGGAGAGCTGAGGAGTAGAAGGGAACAGTGTGGTGGTATGGAAAAGCTAAATTCTACCCAGACATGAAAACCTTTCAGTGCCCATCAAAGGAAAGCTCAAAGTCCTTTGCAGACCACTCATTTTTAGCATCATTGATAACCTACTACCAAACCCTCTGCTAGCAAAGGAACACAAGAGGAATGATGCTCTTCCTGTCCCGAGCAGCCTGGCTCTGGGGCAGCCTGGATGGGAGAAATCTGCTCTGCAGAATGCAGCAGTAACGCAGGCAGTGCCCCGGTGACTTCTGTGCAGCAGAGCAAAGTCCAGGAGAGCAGCACAGCAGAAGGGCTGCTTCTCTTTGCGCTCATCTAGATCAGAACAGGAAAAAAAAAGTGAAATTGCTCTATTTTTATTTCTAATCTAAGACCAAGGGAGATATTACAGACCCACGCTCAGTTCCTCATCTCAATCCAAGTTAAACTCAGCAAGTGTAAAGGAGACATCCCAAATGAAGTATATAAAACAAAAGCCAAAATGATGTTATCCTAGTAAAATTGCAAACATTTATGTATCTGTAACAAACAACCAAAGCTCTATGTCTCTTTTTTTTTTTTCCCTTCCCTTTTTTGTCTTTTTCTTTTCTCCTTCCCTCACGTTCCCTCATCATCTCATTGCTGCAGCCAAGTTTTAAACCATACCCATGGCAATAGTGGCCAAGAGGCCACATGGCATCGCAGGGAATGTGGCAGGGAAAGGCTCGGAATGCTTCTCAGTGCAGCCTGTGCTGCTCCCACAAACACCAGGCATTTTACCCTGGTGAGCACTCCGCTTTCTTTTCCTCTGCTTTCCAAGTAGCAGAGCGTTCAGATTTCCACACACATATTGTGGAAAGAATGAAGCCCTTCTGGAAAAAAAAAATAAAAACAAAACAACAAAATACCAATTTCCTTCTCTAAGTGCAAAGATTTATGTACCCATGCAAATCTTTTTTAAAAAAGGAGAGTGCTTCTGCAAGCTGCACCACAGCAATCACACAATTGTAGAAACAAGTACCTGTTTTTCCTGACCTACATTTTCGGGCTGGCAGGAAATCAAAGCACATGTCAAATTACAACAGATTTTGAACAGACTTGCATGCGCCCTCCAATCTCAGCTATTAAATCTGTTCGGGCCCCATGAGTTTGTTTCTGTAAGACAGTGCCTCTGTTAGAAATTGCACATCTCAGCGTTACGCAGTGCAAAGCAATAGTCTTTGTTCTAATGCTGAAAAGAAGAATTGGTTTCCCATACAATTCTGTTCAGCTAGAGACATTTTCCTCCCCTTGAACTGCCGTATGCTATCTGCTCTATTTATAATAAAAGCTGCATGCTTAAGCAGCCACAACCACAAACACAAAACCAGCCTAGCTTTGTCCTGAAGGCCTCAGGAATGAAAACCCTCCCCAGTTCACTGCAGCCTGCGTGGGTCCTGTGTGTGCATAAAGGAGCAGCCAACAAAAGGTATTTTCTCAGCTGGATCCAGCTGACAAGCAGAACACAGCACAGCATCGGTGCAAGGGGAGCATTTCCTGACAGCCCCGAGCCCCCCTGGCCAGGGAAAGGGATCTTCTGATCCCCAGAAACAGAGGGATGGGAAGGAGCAGAGCATCACGTCAGCTTCGGGGAGAAATCTCATCTATCACTGCAGATCTTCTCCACACTGCTGGAGATACTGCACAGAATGAAGCACATTCCCCATCTTTGCTTCCCCCAGTTTTGTTTGAGCCCTAAGCCATGAACCATTCCGCCCTGCTTTTGCCACTGTCTGGTTTACCATAAGTTTGCACAAGCCGTGTGTGAAGGGAATGCATTGTAAGTTTCCTTTCTTTTCGTGCCCACTTTCAGATCTCTGCAGTTTCACAATGTCCATATTTCTCTAAAATTAAAATTGCCGCATTGCAAAACACATCCGAGAGCAGAAGTTTCAATTAAGCTCTCTTTTTAAAAATGTTTTTCACAATCACAGCAGAAGTTCTTGAAAAATGCATCTTCTTTGGGCCAAGTGAAGCGTGCTCAAATACCCTGTGAGCGCAGCCCCTGAGAACGCTCTGCTGAGCACATTTCCCATCCCTTCAAATCCATGCAAATCAGAAGCCACTTTCAAACAGGTATGCTCACAGGAGGATTTTCCTGCTGCTATCTATACTAACCACACAAGGCTGAAAAGCTCCCCATGCCCTGCTGAATTCCAGCCTCTGACCGACATAAGGCATAAGGAGCCAGACGGCCATTAGCAGGAGCCTGCACAGCCCTCTGCTTTGGGAACTGCTGCTTTTGCTTACCTTTTTTTGATTTATAGCTCATAACTGCAAAACTAATTAGAGTCTAATGAAAAGTGGGACATTATTCACTTGTTTTCCCCTCAGGAGGTTCAGCGTGTTTTCAACAGGAGTGTTACTGATTAAAACAAGAGGTGACGGTTTTAAGAAGCTGGAACACAAACCTGTTCCCAAATGTGCATGTTCTGAAATGATACACTGGTTTCTGTAGCTTCCAACTTCAAAAGTCTTCATCGCCATTAGGAAACTTTTTTTTTTTTTTTTCCTAATATATATTCATCTATTTTACTTGACACTGCTACACACACATCTAACCCGTATATCTGGTAATTGCACTGAGATCTTGGGCCAACCCTTTGGTGATTTCACTTCTTTCCTGCTCCAAACAAATCACTGAAATACACTGCATGGATGTAAAACATAAGACTGTAGCTCGGTTTAAAGGCTGACAGGTTCTTAGAATTGACAAACTAAATGCAAACTCAGGTGCACAGAACATATAAATACCCATCTGTGTAGCTCTTCTCATAGAACAAGCTGCAAATCCAACCCAGTATGTTAGACAAATTTAAGAATGCACCCAGTAGATATTGGCATTAGACTGACTGCTCAGTCAGACTTAACAAGTTCTAACCTCCAGTGTATTCCACACAATCTGTGTGCAACAGGAGCGTTCAAATCGCCTTCCTTCACATTTAGAAAGCTCAGAGAGCACAGGACTGTGTAGCAAGATGTAGGAAGGCTCTGAAACTCAATCCCTCAATACAACATGGTCACTGAGAGAAGAAACATTAAACCAGAGCTCTTAAATTGGCACTTAGATTAGGAAATTAGCCCTACAAACATAAAGCATCTGAGCCGTCCGTTTGTTTCGGATAACGCAGTAGGGCTGCCAATTGCAAAAGCCAGGGACTCCAATTTGGCAGCGCTTGCTTTCCAACATTACTTCAAAACCCTGACTCCATCACACGGGAATTTAACTCCTCAAGACACAAAACAGAAATACACCAGCTACAAATTACACGAGGACAGTTTTCATACTCCATTCATTGAAAGGCGTTCAGTTACTGCCTCGTGGCTACATTGCACAATCCAAACATTGAAGACGTGGATTGCACAGGGCAGCTTCTCTGCACAGCGTGCATTTGCCCAGTTCCTCACCTCCAAGCTCTCCCTCCTTTCCCTGTACGCTGAAGGAGAGGGTACTGACAGTGCCTTTTTCCTGCCAGCATTTCCCCCCCAGCCAAAGAATCACCTGGTGCTTTTAGGGGAACGTAGGATCCAGTCTCCCAAATACAAAATACTCTTTTGGATAAACAATTCAGTAAGTGATCCTGCAGCATTCAACTGCAGAGGATCGTCCACAAAAAGCACAAGAAAGATAAGTCGTTCCACCCAACTGGAAAAACTTCCTCACAGTCACACCCTCCTCACATGAAAGCAGGAATCCTTCTAAACTCACACTGAACAGCCCTAGTGGAAGGTCACAAACAATAACAATGGATAATTAAAACAACAACTGGCCTTAGTAAGACGAAAGTTAAAAGTAAATTCTCATCTTTTTCTTTTTCTTTTTTTTCCCAAGCTGCCCAAGCCTCAGTTTTGAACATGTTTTGGACAGAAGAGAATTTGAAATTAAAAGATTACAACAATCTGCTATTCATCCAAGAGGTCCTCCCCCCTTCCAGTCCTGTGGGATTCACTACAGAGCACAGGGATCTCCTGGAAAACAGAATGCAACAGACATGCTGTAAAGGTATTCGGGAATCATCCATGTTCTCATCCTGCGAAGTGATTAACCACCCCAAATCCAACAGTACGTAAAAATACCAATAAGAAGTCAGTTTTTGCAGCAGCTAGTGGAGTTTTTGCAACAATTGTAGGAGCCTTAAAATCAACACCCAATTGCATTTTCACTGTTAGAAGTACATTATTCTCTCATTTTGATCTGTTAGATGTACAGTTTTTTAAATTCTGCATAGCAACCTCAGCATGCCGTGAGCCCAACACCCTGCACTGTGCTGGCACGAGGGGATGAAGGTAATTTAGAACCTATCAAAGTATATCTGCTGCCAAAGATTCTGAAAACAGACAGTTCTCCTCAAAGCCTGCCTCTGTTCATTCTTTTGTTCTTACATTTAATTTTAAGCAGTAGAGAAGCACAGCATAAATGCAGTATAACAAAACCCAAGTTAGCTGTGGTACAGTAGTTAACAACGCTACGCTAACTCCAATTCTAGTGGGAATATCAAAAGTAGAAGAATTCCAAGGAGCTTTCAGCCCATGAGACAACCAGCATCTCCTACCTCAGAGACCAGCGCTGGATTCTCCGGGGAGAGCTGAACCCCCACAGAACAGAGGGTGATGAACAAAAGCAGACAGAAGTACTGAGGTTGGAAGCCATGAGGTGAGGAGCAAAGTGTACCAGGCAGTGCTATCTTTATTTTTCAGGTGGTGAACTGAAATGTAGGAAACAAAACAGCATCATGGTGAGGAACACACCGTGAGATCTCAGGAACTTGTGCGCTCAAGCTAAATGCTTTAAAAGGTAAAAAAAATATATATATATAGACTAAGTGGTACCATTTTACCTACGTTACTCTAGGTTTCATAGAATCATAGAATTATAGAATGGCTTGGGTTGGGTTGGAAGGAACCTCAAGGATCATGAAGCTCCAACGCCCTGCCACACACAGGGCCACCAACCTCCACATTTCATAGCAGCCCAGGCTGCCCAGGCCCCCATCCAACCTGGCCTTGAACACCTCCAGGGATGGATGGGGCATCACAGCCTCTCTGGGCAGCCATTCCAGCTACAGGTTTGTCATTAAGTCTCATTTTATTAAACTACCCAACCAGTACTGTAGAAAAAAATATGAGATTTTAGACAGAAAGCAACATTTTGTGTCACCTCTCTCAGATGACCATATCCTGCAGGTTATAAACTACAGACCTGGCTCTTTCCTTCTAAAAGGGGATTCTTCCATCACCTCTCTTCCCACTCCCCCACAGCATCCTGCTCCTACAGCTCCTACTTCCACATATCCCATCCTTTTTGTGTCAGAGATCGCAGTACAGTTGGGTTCAAGGGCCCTCACAGCCCCCAGCCCCACCCCTGCCATGGGCTGGCTGCCCTTCAGCTCAGGATGCCCAGGGCCCATCCGTGGGGCACCTCCAGGGATGGGCACCACAGCTCTGGGCACAGTGCTGGGGCCTCACCGCCTCTGAGGAAAGGATTTCCTCTTAATATACAACCTCACCCTTCTCTCTTTTAGTTTAAAGCCATTCCTTCTGACCATGCAAAAAGTCATTCTCCCTCCTGTTTATAAGCTCCCCTCCATTACTGAAATTTTAATGATAGTCTGAACAACTGTTCTCAATTGTCCTTAGCTTGAGTATATCTGCCTCTGTGCAAGACCTCTATGGAAGAAATAAAAATAGCAGCTGGGGCTCTGTAGGAATGCAGTGCTTCCTGCAGTGCTGCATGGCTGCCTGTCCGGCTGCGGGCGCCTGGCAGACAAGCGCTTGCTTAGCTGTGTGCTCCGGAGCACATCCCTCCAGTGTTGTGAAGAGCAACAGTTCTCTGGAAAGAAAATGAGAAAAGTCAGTATGTGGTCATGTAATTAAAGACTGCCATAATTCACACCCACATTGCGGTAGGTTGGTGTTGTGCAGGCATCCTTAACTCTGGCATTTCCTCATTTTAGGCTACTTGTATTTGAAATCTAAGTAATGTTTTTACCGTACCGCACCATAAATTAAGTGCGCAGAAAAAGCAATGTCTGTAGAAAATAATTCTTCAGCAGACAAACCCGGCCAGTTCCCCTGCAGCTGCAAGCCCTGGCTCCTCGCACACACTGCCGGCCCACGGCAGACCTGCATTGGCGCGAGCTGAGCGCACAAGCACTCTCACCGCACCGAAAATTGCAGCCACGACAAAGCACGGCACGCTTTGACATCTCAGCGCTGCAGGGAGGGCAGAGGGCTGAGATGAAAGAGCAGAACTGGAACGTCAGCTGCTCAGAGGGGACGTGGGCTGACACGGCCAAGGCCACGAGCAAGGCCAAGGCCACACACGTTATGCTCAAGCACAACCTTTTTCTTCTTCGTTCTTATGCCAAACAAACAAACAAAAGAATACCAACGCCGTGAGCAGCATGAGGCCACACTGCTCCTCCGCGTGGGTCTGCAATGGGGCAGATCAAAGCGGCTGCTGGGAGAACAGGCAGGAAAGGTGGAAAACGGCCGAGATGAGGAGCACTGCCACCAGCGTGCGGCCAACCTGCGGGCCTGGAGCTGCAAGGAGAGAGCCGGCCATACCCGAGGGCAGGGCAGCAGGGCAGGATGGAGCTGTGGGATGGAGCCGGCTTCCCCGCCACAGCAGCCATGCAGTGACCTTCACCCGGAGCTCCTTCTTTCTAGGAATGCAGGGCGAGCTGCTCGCCTCCCGGTTCCCACAGGCCGCCCCGGGCCGAGGTGCACTCAGCAGCGAATCATCTGCTCCTGCGAGTCATGAGCTACAAATTGAAGAAACACACCAGGAGCTAAAACGAGTTTCCGAGAATGAAAACAGCTGGTACAGAAAGAAAAGCCAAATATTCTCCTGGCTGCTGGATGCTTTTTTTTTTTTTTTTTTTTTAATTTAGCTTAAAACGAAATGAAAAAAATCTGCTTGGAACCCAAATAGTCTCTAGCTGAAAATGTGGTGTCTAGCCTGAAAAACAGAGGCTTCTGGACACCATGCCAACAAGCGCAGGATTCCCATGGACCTGGTGTTTCTCAAGCCCTTAATGTGGTTCAACTTAGGCAAGTGGTTTTAGGATTCCCAGTTTAAAATCTACAACACACATCTGCAATTCATTTTAGTTTCTTATTTTATTTCTTACTTCTTCAACCAACTCCAAATCATTTTACGAGTTCTTGCAATCTGGCACTAATCAGTTACTCATGCTGCAGGAGTTCCCGCTTCCTCAGAAGGGCTCCCTTTGCACAAGAAGCCAAGCTGTGCATTTCATCAGCTGCATTTCACCAAAAGAACAGTAACTACCTGATAAAATGAGAACACTTGGCAGTGCTCAGCACATGATTCCCGGACATGAAAAACTTCTACCCTAACCTACAGAACAAACAATTTTCTGCTCCTCTGTTCCTCTATCAGAATTACTGAATTAAATGAAATGTCACTTCTCAACTAACAATATAATGGTCTATTTCTGAGACAGGGATTTGATCGAGTGGCTTCAGGTTTAAGAATAAGACTTGGAAAAATTTTTCATCCAGCGGTAAGGAGGGAATTCCTGCATAAGAAACACCACGGGGTTAAAACTTCAAATAGAAGTGTGCCAAAAATTTGACTTTCAGTATCTGCCCTCCGAACAGCTAATCTGTAAGAAGAAATGCTGAGGAGACATGCCAAGTAGGGCAGTGATTCTCAGAAGCAATTTTGAGTTGGTAAGAAATGTAACACGTGACAGAGCCTGCCTCCTCATTGCTCCTCTTGCTTAAAACACAGCTCTGAAGTCTGAAGAAGAGACTCCATCTTCCTCAGCAGCAGCAGTGAGGCACCCTGTAGGCAGAAGCACGACTACACCGCACTCAGGATGCAGCTAATTAGAAACAGGTGGCTGAAGCAGACACGTCCTCTTCTTCACTGCAGTGCAAATGAAAGCTGTAGGTACAGGGTAATTCCTGATCTTGGCTTCCTCAATGAGGTTCACTACACTAGCAATACAGAGACGCAGTCAGTGGAGAATAACACACTTTCCAGGAGTCCAGTTAGCCTGTCAGCAGCCTCCCTGTAACAAGCCTCCAGTTCTCTGTAATTTCCATAAACTGTGTTGGTGACTGAATGCAATAACAGCACTACATCGGCACATTGCTCAAGCTCTCCAGCTGCTGGTGGATGCAAATGAAACTCTGCTGGCTTCACTGTGTATTTTGGTTCCATCGATTTGAGGGTCCAAGCGTAGAAGGGAACGAACAGCGCTGTGCTTCTGTAGTTTTCAGTTTTTCCACCAGAAAATATCACAACTGCTTCTCTTCCCAGGGTATCCTCAAGGTGAGGCTTGTGAAGAGCTCAAAGATGGAGAGCAACAGACTCAAGTTCAACCACAGAGTGCTAATTAGATATTAAGGTTGGGAGGACTTCACAGGAGTAATAAAATACAGACACGCAGAAAGGTTATGGTATCTCCATCCTTATAGACAGAGCAAGGAATAGGCCCCAAGAAGCCTGATGTAACAGAAGCTGGTACTGTGCTAAGAAAATGAGGCATGGGTAACCTCCAAAGGTCCTTTCCTATCTAAACCACATCGTTATCGTATGGCCTTCATTTATGACCCCTCAGATTTAACATGTGGGGCCGCTGGATGGGCAGGATGCAGGATTACCAGCACAGAGACAACGCCTGGTAGCTCATCTCCATTGCATCCAGCTCAGATAACAAAAGCATCAGCTGAGCTGTGGTTAAAGGGAGGTGGCAAAACTCTCGCCACGCAAGGGAAGGAGAATAGCTGCATCCCTTGTGGCACCTCAAAAAAACCTCCCAGTTGGATTCTCATTATGAAGCATCCTGGGAGGTCACTCGCAAAGGGCATGAATGCTGTGCACGTGCATGCTTACATACACACACAGTCCTTGGGGAAGCAACCCCACATTTGTGACTTCTCAGGTGCCATGCTGCATTTAACAGGACTCAGGATTGGGCGACAATATTTAATTTTGGTAAGTGGGAGCTACAAAAGATTGTGGTTTTGATTCATTTGATTGCTGAGTCTTAAGAACAACATAGGATTATTTAATGTGATAAGCAAATAAGCAATTGCAAAATAATGCAGTTGTTACTCTAGCTACTCTTGAAGCACTCCTGTTGGTAAACCCAGTTGGTTTCAGGCTCACTCAGTGTGTTCTACACGTCTCTCAGTGGTGAAGCAGCAGGAGCTGTATCCTTCACCATGAAGCCTGCTTCAGGTGTACCCTTCCAGAAGCTCTCCCTATGTCTCCAGATGCTCATTCCTACATTCATGACAAGTAGTCAACTCTGACATCTCTGCCAAGAAGTTTTCCCCTGTTTAATCAAATATCAGGTGCCACTGAGGCCTGAAGGCACTGAGGGAACGCTGTCATCATTCTGGAGGTTCGGCCAAAGGGAGAAACAATGCCATTGGCAGCATGGCATTGAAGGATTCTGTAAGGTCCCTGGGGTACAAAATAATGACAACAGCAATCGCTGTGGTGTTGAATTTAAATACTTCAGTGATGGAGTTATGCTCATTCCCAAGACGAAGAAAAGAGAAATTTTAAGACAGAGCAAATGTTAGTCAAAGCAGTAAAAGCAAGTCATTAGGAAGAAAGATCATTTATTATTTATATTCACATCTCTAAAAGCAAAACTAGCTACAAGTAATAAAGCCTTTTTGAAAACAGACATTTCTCAGTGTGAACTTCTAGGCAGACAGAAAAAGACAGTATTTGCCATCTAATGCATTGGGCTTTTCATGTATTTGAAGTTATTAATAGATCATTGTAATAATTTGCTGCAACTGGGTTTGAACACATCTTCTGAATCTTCTAAATTAATTCAT